AATTTGGCGAAATATGGAGGTAGGGTTACCTCTTCTTCCGCATCTATCCTTCACTCCCGATTGCCATCCTTTTCTTCCGATCGCCATCTCCAACAACACAGAGTATTCCGATTTTCACTTCAATTTTCAATTTTTTTTCCGTTTTGCTCTGCTCTGCTTTTGCTCTACTCTGCTTTGCGTTGTTCTGCTTTTGTTTTCTTCAATTTTTTGTTCAGTGTTTAAGACTGCGTGCTTTTTCAGATTTGCTATGTTGGGTATCAATTTTTGTTCGTTCAACATGGGTTGATATGTTGGGTCTCAAGTGTGATGAATTTTCAGACAAACAAATTTTCAATTTTACTTTAGTTTTTTTTTTGCTTCCTTCAATTTTGCTTTTAATTTCCAGTTTATGCTCAATTTTCTGTTCAAGCTTTCCTTCACTTTTTTTTTCAGTTTTCGTTTTTTGTGTCAATTTTTTCAGTTTTCATTTCAATCTTTTTTTCCTGTTTTTTGTTTCCTTCAATTTTGCTTACTTCACAACTTTCGTTCTGGACACTGGACAGACCTTCAATTTTGCTTTCAATTTCTAGTTTATGCTCAATTTTTAGTTCAAGCTTTGGTTCACTTTCTTTTTCAATCATAAGGATATTTTAGTAATTTTATTCTTTTCCTACCTCAGGTTACCTAATAAACATCCAAACACAATTTTTTAATTCATTACCTTACTTTACCTACCTTCAATTACCTACCTTCAATTACCTACCATTACCTACCTAATAAAACTTTTACCTACCTCCAACCAAACATACCCTTAGGAGTTCAGGTGGCATTGTAATAGCATCTTTATTGATTGCTTACAATTTCATTGTTTTCAACCACAACATCTATTACCCAACCTCAGCTTGGTCTTATATTCCTATCTTGGAAATCATTTGACACCCACACTAGTTGTGCATCAATATGTTTTTTTTTCATATATAAAAGGGTGAATTAACATTTTAAGCTATGAAGATTGGCCAAATGTTAAAGACTATAAACATATCTTCATATTCGATTTCATAGAAACATAGAAAGACGGCAAGTGCAAATGACCCTCTAAATGAATATATAACAAACTGATAAAGCCTGATGGGTATTTCAAGCAGAAATCTTCAAGAACAGATCAAGTCCACACTTTTGACCCGCTCAAATTTTAAAAGATGAGAAGGAAAATGAAACTTAGACAAGGAATTGCTGGAATAGCATGGCCTCTGGGCTCCCTTCACACACACACACACACACACACACGGAAATGCATAGAAACCATCAGGTATGAGGATACACAAGTACCTGCCTTTGTAAAATTGATCATGTCAGCTTTAGCTTGTCCAACTTCCAAATCATTCATATCTGCATCCATACAATGCAATTAACATGGATCAAATATAGCAAATAAACCCTTGTGTTTCCTTTTAATTGATACAGAAAATGGGCTTCCGTACTCACCAGTCCGGATAACAGATTCACTCCAAAATCTACTCTTCTCTTTGAGGTTAAACAAAGAAAAAACCGAAAAACCCCTATTTTTCTGACTTCCAGTTGAATAACCATGTGAGCCATCACCTAGTAACTGAAATAAAAGTCAAGAGCTTAATAATAATAATTATGATGATGATGATGATGATAAATACAACAATAATAATAATTTTGAAAGTGTAAACTATTAACTATGTTGTGTGGCAATTTGTTATTAGGAGAAGTGTTTCCCTGTTCTGGAAATGTTTCAAAAACAATAACTCATGGTAACATTTTGGGAAATTTTCTTAAACCTTTTGAAGCCATATCCACAATTTCAAGAAACCCGGAAACATGCTTCAATATAATAAAAAAAAATTAGTTACGGACAAGGTTATGCATAACCATTGTTTTGATTTGGGAAAATTGTTCCAAATATGACTAAAAAGTAGTCCTCTTCCCTAGATAAGACCTAAGCTTTTTCATTCTCTATTTATTTAAAAAATAATTATTATTCTGGATGTACCAAATTGTCCTTACTCTGACCCTAATCACCTCTCTTTTTTTTCTTTTTCCCTACTCTCATGTATCACTCTCATCCCTCGTCTTGTTCTTCTTCTTTTTCCTCCCCTCCTTTCTCCACTGCATTGCCGCCGCCACCTCCCTTACCCATATGCCGCACCCACCCTTGTTGCCGCCTTGATCCCCACTCCTCTCTTCTTTTTCTTATTATTCCTCCCTCCGCTCATCACCTTCTACGCCACCGTCCTCCACTATCACCAACACCGCCGCCATCCCATCTCCTTTTCTTTTTTTTCGCTGCCCATACTCTTGTATAGCAGTGGGTAGTATCATAGGCATATCAATGTATGGTGTCTTAGACTTTTTCAATGAACAATAATGATGGAGAGTAATGGCATCGCGATGGAGAATAATGCTTGCTGACATAGCAGTAATTGCAAGGGCTGGTGGTGATAGCAGAGTGGTGAAGGGTTGAAATGGTGGTGGTGGAATTTGATGAGCCAGGTAGGATGAGGCGAGTTGTGAATTAGGGTTGAAAAAAACTATAAATACAAGAATGACATTTGTGTATATTTACATTCATAATTACTAATTAATTAATTAGAGAATATTTAGGGATTAAAAAAACATAAAGTCCTATATGAGGACAGACACTCTGTTTTGTCGTATCTAGGTTATTCCCTCATTTTGTTCCTTAAAATACAAAACTAGCTTATTTTATATGTGATTACCAAATGATCTTACATAACAAACAAACAAACAACAACGGTAAAATCCCACAAAAAAGTAGGGTCTAGGGAGCGTGTATGTAAGCAAACCTTACCCTAGGTAGTATAGACACTGTTTCCAAGAGGCCTCGGCTCAAAAACAGAATTAAGGACAAGGAACCAATAAGCAAATGATCTTACATGCTTATGGAACATATCTGACTATCAGTGTGTACAGTTTTTCTAAAGAGTTTCCATGGTCATATGATAATGTAACAATTGATGCTTATAGTTTTCATAAATTATGTTTGATAATACTGATAATTGTAATATAAAAAATTATTGATAATGATAATTATGACAATTTTTTAGATCAAGTTGTTTTTTGTTGTAATTATCAAGTTCTTTCCAAAAACTTGAAAATAAACAACATTAATTGTTTTTTATTATGTGTTCATGGGAACTCAATCACACATTGGGATCAATAGCAATAAATGGGAACTATGCAGCTGAATTGGCGGCCATCCTTCATGGCCTTTGGTTTGTCGAGACCTCTTGAAGAGAGACTATGAGAGTAGGAGGTTAGCCTTGTGCACACATTTCGTGAAGCCAATTTTGCGCTGATTGGCTAGCTAGGGTGGGAGCAAGGGAGAATGATTTAGAAATCTTGGGTGACCCTCCGAATGCGTGTTTGGGCCTTCTGGGAGAAGACTAGAGGAACACCATGTTTTCTAGACTGTAAGTCTGTAACTTGTTTCCTTTGTACCAAAAAAAGGAAAAACATGTTACATGTGAGTATGAACACATACCCACACCACACACTATTTGTGATTTTGATGTGCATGAAAAAAAATGTAATCATCAATAGATACTAAATGTCTAAATCTCAACGATTAGATTCTAGATGAAACTACTGTGAAGCTATGATCAACCAAGGGTTTCTTTAATGTCTACATTGAAATATGTGCGGATTTAATTCTTTTTTCAAAAAGAGTGCCTATACATGGAGTGATACCCCTTGAACCCCCACCCCCCCACATGTCTTTCATTAAATAAACGTTTTCTAGGTTTTTAAAAAACTGTTTCTTTGCCGTTTTCTTTTTTGTTTCTTGTTTGTCATTTCTCCATTTTCTGTTTGTGTCCATGCATCATGGGAATCACTTCAGTTAGTCAATGAACATACTCCCTCCGTCCCTAAATATTTGCCACACTTATATTCCCGAGGCAAAATATCAAGTTTTTTCAATTCATTTTATTTACATATTGGTATAGAAATAAAAAATAAAATTTACATATCAAAAAACTACATGAAAAGTTCTTCGAAATAAGAGGTGTCAAGAATATTTTATTTTATCAAATAGCCAATGAAAACGTAGAAATAAACAAAAGTTCCCGCAACACCAAAAAAGCAAACGTTGCAAATATTTCGGGACGGAGGGAGTATCATTCTTGAATTCACCAAAAAAATCACACAATGATTGCAAACACCCTGGCCTTTTGCAGATTCCAAAAACATCAATTTTGGCCATCGCAAGAAGCTTGAAAAGAAATCTAATTAAAAGATTTCACATGAATCTGCTCAATTAAAAAATAAATTCTATCCCCTAAAATTAATTGTCCAAAAAATCAAAAGATAAAAAATGAAAGAAAGAGATGTAAAACTTGAAGTCCAAAAACAGTTTTCAATGACATGCATGTTGAACTTCCCTATGGTACTTTGTGGACCCATTTCCAGGAAAATAACTCAAACAACACCAAAAAGAAATAATACTATTATTATTATTATTATTATTATAAAATTGTCAGGTTAGCCAAATGCATTTGCTTCGGTATCGGGTAGTTGGATGAAAGGGAGCATCAGATCACATGTTCTTTCATTTTATAACCATTTGTGAATTTATTTTCGGCATTTTCGGGTGAAAATGTTTTGCATACCCATTCTACTTCAAGACTTAATCACCAAATGTATGCATTGGGTTCATTCGGATTCAAAGATAAACCACTAAGTCCTAGCCTATAAAGCCTAACTTCTCATTCAAATTAATGAGAGCAAATTGTTGGATGAACCATACAAAGAAAAATTGATAAAATCAGAAAATAATTCTAAAATACACTAACTTTATGTTCAAAATATCAAATCAGATGATAAACTGATGAACTGCTCGCCAACTGTATATAAATTGGGATAACTTCGCTCACCAGAACGATGAGGCAGGCGATAAAGAATGGACGACTTGACAAGTAGGAAATCATCATCAACACCACAGATCTATCACACTTCGGACGAACAGAACGGAAATAAACGCCCAAATGAAAGCTTCAACTGGGATTCATATAATCATATACACAGCAAGAGCGCAGGGAGAAACTGAAAGACTATACGAGCAAAGACGCCAATTTTGGCTGACTGTGTGAGGGGAGCTAAGCAAAATTGCATAAATGAAGGGTCCGACACTAATTTTAAATTGTATGCCTGAAAAATTTTTATAAATTGAGGGCAATATAAAATTTGAATTAAATAGTACTAAAATATACTCCGTATGTCATTTCTCAATGTAGTACTTATACTTTTTTATTTCCTAAGTAATGTTTGAATATTGTCTAGTCACGGGAACAATGTTCAGTGATGGTGGACATTTAGTTTGAACAATATCTAGTTGTAGTGGATATTTACTTGAATAATAGCCACTGGACAATGACTAATTGTACTACATTAGAAAATCACTATGTTTTAATACAGAGTACTATTTAGATAAATTCTCCTATACAAATTCTTATTTTATAATAATTTTTGTGCCTGAATAATTTGTAATATTGACATATTACAAATTCTTATCTTGTATTTCACTAAAACCTTGAATTAGGATACCCCGGAATTAGGACATCCCAGATCATATTGAATTGTCCCGATATCAAAATGAAAGGAATAAAGTAAGATAATATCGTGTCTCATATCGTTCCCAACCATTTCTATAAAACGAGATTAGGACCAGGACGACTACAACCCCGATCCGTTATGACCCATGCCCACACCTACTTGATAAAGAAATAATTAATTTTCACGAACCAGCATGGTATGTGTCTGATGTCATTTCGTTACATTGAACGCCAATATTAAAGGATCTGTTCTCAATTTTACAATGTACTAGTTTTAAAGATGTATATATTCAGCATGAAATTATATTTTATGAGATACTATTTTTGAAAAAAGCTTAACAAAACACGCCTTGTGTGATATTTATATGTGCTTATATGAACTTATTAAAATGCATGTTATAAGTATGTCAAATAAATAATTATGCAACATATATATTCTTTGACTTGTAAGTGTGTATATTTATTTATTTTATAGAGTAAATTATCAAAATTGTACTCAATAACTATATATTTTTCAAATTAGTCCTCAAAACTAATTAGTTCCCTAAATGATACTCGATAATTGAGAATAATATTCAGTTCAGTCACCCTCAACTAACGGCCGTTAAACCGGAGTTAAAAAGACGTTAAACTTTATAATACTTTTCCCATATTGTACTTTCTGACTATTGTTTTCTCAAATTGGTCCATTTTTGAAATAATAATATACTTCCTCTGTCTCTCAGTATTTGTCTACTTTTGATTTTTTTTTATCAAAATTAGTAAACTTTGACTTCAAATTAAATAAAAAAGGTATTAGATTTTGATACAAAAGTAGTCTTATTGGATTTATTATATCAAATATTTTCAAAATATTATTTTTCTCTAATTACTATACAACATATGTTATATTTAATTATATGTCAAATATTGAAAATGATTGACTGAAAAAGTCAAAACTTGACAAATACTTAGTGACGGAGATAGTATTATTTATGAAAATATATTTTAAATTTTATAGGATGATAATATAATATTAAAAACTATAAATATACTTTTATAAATTTGAAAGTAACGTAACGCTTTAGATTATTTACAATTATTTAATAGAACATATCATGTGAACAAAATATTTAATAAACGTTGAAGAAATCACCTTAAATAGGAGTAAAACATAGAGAAGAGCTCCTTATTCGGTACTTCTTTTATGTTTTACTCATATTTACTGTGATTTCTTTAACAATATTAAGCATTTTATTTACATGATACTCTTCTAAATAGAGAGGGCTAAATGAGGTTTGCACGCATTAGGGTAGTATTTATAGTTATGTGGTTTCGTGTTTTGTAATTTAATTAACATACCTTAATAAAAATACCCTTCTAGGGCTAACTTACTCCGATTTTATAGCCGTTTGCATCGTTGGATTCGTCTTGTCGAACCATACACAATGTTATGATTCTTATAATTTATTAACGAATATTTATAATTAACTTTGAGTATGTCTAAGTAATTAATTAATTGTTTTTAATTAATTAAATCTGATAGGTCAGATTTTGAGACCTTACATTAAAATTTTCCCTGAGTATATTTTTATTTTTTATTGACATTAACACTAAAAATATAGAATAAACATATATTTCATTTCACTATATCATAAAATCATATGAAACTTATTCAAAGTATTATTATAAATGAAGTGAAAACAATATAATATCAAGAAAGAATATTCTAATAAAAGCGAAAATCGATATTTCACAGTTAAAATTTTTCATGATTGAATCTATTCATATTTTGATTAAAATTGTTGCATGATTCAAGTAACCAATAGGTGGCGGATGATTTTTTAAATATTCGTTAAATTGAACTTGTTCCTTGGCTTGAGTGGTAAGAAGTCCACTTTCTAAGATTATATTTGCGAGAAAATTCTTTCAGGTTCGAGCTCTACCAGAAGCGAAAGTATTGATTGTTTGTGTGTCATTAAGTTAAGAATAATGTGTACAAATACTACCTTGTACCATTATGATCAACAAAAATTGATTTTTTTTTTACAATTTTTGACAAAAATTGTGGCAAAAATATACTCCCTGAAGTCTTGCTCCTTAGTTGACTTGGACCATTCTGATTGATTTTCCGCACTCTCGTTCCGTACATTCACCGCCAAATTGGCTGGAAGAAGACGCCATAGAATCATATCATCGTATCGCAGCGGCTTGAGGGTGAGTTGTTACTGTTTCTGTGCTTTAATTTGTTCTTCATCACTCCAGTGTGGCGTCGAAGAGAAGGGTTTGTATGCTGTTTATTTTTTCTCCTCCTCCATCCATATTCTTTTTCTTCTCATCCATTGCCATCCAGATCGCCTCCTTCCAGATCGCCACCACCCCACATCGCCGCCCCCCATCCAAATCGCCGCCTCCACCATCCCAATCCCCGCATCCATCTCAATAATCGGCCTCCACCGAGGCAAATTGCGTCACTACCATCCCCGTCTACAAGGTGTTTGATAAAATGTTTGAAAGACGATTTGATTTTCTAGGTGTTCATTTTCCAGAATTGAGACAAACGAAAATAGATACTTTTCAACTTTTAGCCAAACACCAGAGAAGTAAAATGACTTCAGAAAAATAACTCATTTTAGAGAAGTTATTTTCCAGAATTTATTTTCTTGATTTCCAAAGGGACCCTTAGTTATTTAGTAATTTTAAAACTTGATTTTTTTTTAATTAGTAAGAGTAATCCTGAGTAAGGGAAACATTGTTATAATCATATATCTCGCAAAACACACAGTTGCAGAGTATAAATGGTTACAATTCGATCAGTCTAGTTGCAGAAGAAAAAATATGGATGTTCAAAACTCACATGTTGAGGCAATCACTTTAGTTTAAATTTGGACTCTAAAACCATGTTATTCAGGAGGTTTTAAAACTTTGGCTATCGTTAGTCTTTGTTTCAAAATTTCATCCATTTTGTAAGATGATATGCTTTAATTTCATGATAAAAGTCCTTCAAATTGCCAGGTTAAAGTCTGCAGATAACATTTTGGGCAGTATGTATGAACTATGGAGTTTATCATATACTTAGGGATACCCACTAGAGTCACGCCTTGCTGTGGCGTTGTGATTACTATTAGTATGGAGCAAAGAGTAAAACATGCACAACTAATTGTAATTGGGACAAATATAGTATATTTATAAAGGGGTATTATGATAATATGTACTCCCTCTGCCCCAAATTGACTACCCGCTTTCTTTTTCTATCCATCCCAAAATGAGCTTCACACTTTCCCCATTTCTTTTAAATGAAAGGAATACGTGACTATAAATATTTCTCAGTCTTCAAACAACTTCTAACCATACACTAACTTTTCAACATTTTTATTAAACTCCGTCAAGTCGAAGTGGGAAATTGTTTTTGGGACAAAAAGTTTATGATTACCTATCTCAGTTTACTTCATCTAAGCAATACTTCGTAACTACCTTCATTTACCTCATAACTATCCACTACGCGAATAAAAAAAAAACACCTCCCCAAACCTACTTCAAGCTACATGCCTTTAGCTACCTTTAGCTACCTTTATTTACATACCTTTAATTGCCAGTGTGGACAGAAAGGATTGCCAATGACGATCACCTTAGACTCTTGCAAAGATGTTTTAGCTACAAATTGCAACATAGATTTCACCTAGAAATTACTACAACGATGAGAGACGAGAGATACACCGCTCTCTTAAGCTCCTCCAGTAATACTCTATTTGTCATTTATGTGCAATCATGGAATTTGTATTAATGTCAAATTATCAAATTACGGGTGTTCTTTTATTGTTTGGTTTTACATCCTTAAAAGGAGTCATATTCATTTTTGTAGTCGTAGTCATTTGTGTTATCATGAAAACTAACACAGATTGTTCAATATGCTTTGTTGTGGTGATTTTTAAGGTTAAACACGAGAACCCAGTTTAGATTATTCCGCTGTTGGCATCAAGAAAAAGTAGAAAGAATATGCTTTCAAAGTTGAAGTTTATCCCACGTGACCAACTACACGAGGTATATATCAAATTTGTCTAGTTTATGCTTTTCAAATTTATCTAAGCTTGTGTGCTCTATTTCATCGTCCTTAATTTATCAACCATCGCATATGTATATCTTTTTCCCAATATCGTGTTATTTGGTGCATCAGCTTTTCATCATCATCCTCATCATCATAGTTTTGGCTTATGAACCATGATCAATCTCATTCTGCTGGTGTTGTGTTAATTTGGTGTCAGGAAAAGAATAAGGACTCAGACGATTCCCAGAAACATAGACAAAAATCTGGTCATAAAAGGACAAAGGATAGAAAGAAGAAGCGTTCTTATTGTAGTTCAGATGATGATCTTGAAAGAGTAAAAACAAAATCAAGGAAAAAGAAGTGGTATGATTCAGATAAGGATATTTCCTCTCATTCAGATGGTAGTAATAGTGCTTCAGATATTTCTGAGAAAAAGCAAAATCATACTAGTAGGAATAAAAGCCAGAAAAGAAAACACAGAAGGAGGTCAGATGATGATGCTAGAGGCTGTTCCAAGATTAAAGAAAGAAGTCAAAGAAAAGATGTTTCCTCTGATGGGTCTTCATCTGATGAAGCTGGCGGTAAACCCGATAATGAAAGTGTAAGGAAAGAAATGGGGTTGGAGTGGATGCTCAGGCCTGCGGAGAGCTCAGAGAAGGCCCGGAAAACTGCTGACAGTAAACTTGAAGAAAATCTTGCTCTACCTCAAACTCAGGAGGTATGTTTTTGCTACATGCTTGGTACTGTTGTTTTTGAATGGTCATACATTCATACTGAAATGCCAATTTTCTAACACTTAATCAAAAGTGGATTAGGTCTGCTTTTTATAATGATTCATTGAGTCTGATTAGAATCACTATCACTTTGAAGCGAATTGTAGATCGTCCATGGCATTGCGCTCCCTCTCCCTCCCAGTTTTTTTTCACTTTCAAAGGTGCCTCTTAGGTGCTAATCCCCCTTACATGAAAAGTGCTCTCTTCTATTGCCATCTCCCCAAAGTGGATTGATGCTGTATTAGTTGTCGAGATGATAGGCCAGTTCTAAACTTCTCAATGAGGCCTGCTGTGATGATTTATTTTCATATGTGCAGTTGGATTAACATATCTTTTGTTTTGTTCCTTGTCCAGACTAGAACAGTAAATCCACGAGAACTAAATCCATATCTGAAAAATAATGGAAGTGGTTATCCTGAAGATTCCGAAGGAAACAAGGCTGGTGTTGAACAATTTTTGTCATCTGCAGTTGTTGGTGATGGAGGTGCAAGCTGGAGGCTAAAATCTTTAAAGCGAGCTCAAGAACAAGCGGCTCGTGAAGGACGAAAGCTAGACGAGGTAGGTACTCATGGATTGCTAATATAATTTTTTCAGTAGTGTCTTGCATCCAATTAACAATGAAGTAGGTGTGATTTCTTAACAGGTAGTTGAAGAGCGGTGGAGCTCACTTAACCATCTGGCTGTTTCTGTTGCATCCCATAAAGCTGCCCCCACCCATGCTCATCTTCATGCCATCAAAAGTAGGAGACAAGGTTTAAAGGAGAATGAAATTGCAGACAATCCTGAAAAGGGATCTCTTGAGAAGGTTATTCTCTAACAGATATTCTTCATTTTATATTGTGAGTTGCAATTTAAGCCACACAAGTGATTAATTTGACATTTATTCCATACTTTAAATCTATATTTATTTTTGGTTGGCCTCATGAATGTTTGGTGGTTGTGTCAAGTACACACTCATTCTGCACATATATATCATCTGAGTTTGTTCTCAAGTCCTCATGTAATTGTAGTTGCCCAAAAAATGACCTGTTTCAATTCTTTCACATAAAAAAGCCTCATTAAAACAGTGTCTTTTCATATAAGTTGAGCTTGTCTTGGTTGTGAACAAGTGCTTTATAATGTATGGCTCAATTTCTTAAAGTGCAACATAGCCGGTGTGTACATTTCTTATGCTTGCTTTCATGTCCAGATTTTGAATGCACTCTGTCGGCAAATTTTCTACACATTCAAATGGTTTCATTTCTTGTGATGAGTACTTGTGTTCTAGTGGAGTTTCTTTGCTGCATGCCCATTGCGTACTATTAATTGGGTTCATTTTGACGGCCCTTTTCTCGAGTCTTAACCAAGTGTTGTTCTGTTCGTGACATCACGTGTCACGCTCTTATATTAAAATTTAGCAAGTGCTCTCTTTAAAGTTAATTTCCAGAGGTCACATATTTCTGTCATGGTGCTCAATCGAATCTTGTAATGTATGTAACGGTCCGCCAGGTGAAGGTTTGGAGGGTTTTGATTCAGTTACACTGCTTAGTGCAGCAGATGCATGTGGGGAGTTGGGTCTATGTGGACACGATTGGTTTGTGGAGTCATGAAGTGTGGTGCTTGCTTTGATTCTATTGGTTGTGTATCCATTCTGGTTTCTGTGTTAGACATAGCTAGTCTCTCTGTTTCAAAGCAAATTGATATAATAATGTCTCTCTGTTTCTATTAAAATTGATATAAGAATATAAGGTGAGCTGTTCTGATGATGGTCCTAGAGTTCCTATCAGGAGCACTCAGCAGATGCTCATGATTTATGGACATATCTTACTATGATAGTGAACATATTATGTTAATTAGTGAGCATGAACCACTAAAATCAGATGCATGTGCAACAAGTGAGCCACCTGATTTGCTGACTTTCTAACCACTAACCATGAAAGAGAAGAAAACTTTGTGCTCAGCACCATACAATCATAAATAATCCCTGTAAAATACGATAAATCCTGATTGTTCACCTGTAGAGCTTGAAACAGTCTCTGCTTGTCCATCTCTACTAGTATCTTTTGTCGCCCGTGCATCATCTTTATCCACTTGAGCGCCTCCCTGACCCTCATTGCCTCTGCCACAAATGCCTCCACCTTCCCCAGTCCTCTATATGTCCCGCAAAGGAAGCCACCTCCCGCATCCCGCACCACCATTCCCACTGAAGCTTACTTGGTATTCTAATTAAATCCCACATCCGTGTTGCACTTAACAGCATTCCCCTTCGGTGGTCACCATCTCATACCACTCTCGGCTATGATCCCCTCCTGTCCAGTAAAATCCTTGTTTGCCTTCACCCACTCTTCGTGCCATCAGGTTTCCTTGGACACCAACGTTGCAGCGGCCATACTTATACGACCAGATTCATGATTATAATTAAGAAATATAGAAATTATGAAAGCAGCCTTTGATCGCTGCCTGTCATCCTGTGCCTCTTTGCCCACCGTGTTTCCATGTTGCCTCCTCATTGTGTTTCCATATTGCCTTTCTTTTGTTTTGATTCCTAATAAGCATCACCCAAACTTCAATAACATACATATTTACTTATCCTGTCCAGAGGTTGCACAATATGCCAACTCTCTGCCTCTCTACGAACACTAAATTCTCAAATTTCCTAGCTCTCTCAGAACTTTATTTTCGCAATTGGTATGGTAGTGTCAAAAATCTCAATACAAGTCTGAACTAATGACTGGTTAATACTTAATATTTATATTTTATGATTTAGTGGATAATTTGTTATCTCCCAAGTTTCAGCTATTTTTTTTTATAAATGACAAGTACTCGGTATTTTTAAAACAATGTTTTGCAATGGTATATTGGAAGTGCAAGAGAAGGGAGACTAGAAGGCATAGTATAGCATTA